CCTCACAACAACCCTGTGAATAAGCTTGGTAAGCATTATTAGCCCCATTTTATAGACAAAGAAACTGAAATAAAGAAAAGTAACTGACTTGATCAAAGTCACACAGCCACCAAAGTTGTGTCTATTGGACCCCTTCTGATGTCAAGTCCGACGCATTATGGTGTTTCTCCTGTGAAGGTAACAAGTATTCTTTTTCCTCAATCTTACCTGTTTTCCCATCATTGACACACTCCTGGGCACAGAAGAAGTGCCCAATTATAGTTTTTTCTTTGCTTTGATTTCAATGAAAATTGACAGGCTAGGAATCAAAATAAATCTACAGATTACCATAAGGCTCCTGATTTTTTCACACAGGTGATCTTTATACTAATTCTCAGAGGTCTCTGTTTTACGGAGGAAGAAATTGAGATACAGGGTGGCCAACTGAGTTCGTGAAAGCTAGAGGAAACCTTCTCCTCATTTTATGGGTGAGGGTGGGAACTGAGGCTTAGAGAAATGATTTACCTCTGCTTAAGTTCAGATCCAGCAGCAGAGTCAATGACTCGGACTCAAACGTCCCAGCTTCGCCTTAGGTTTCTGTGTGGCTGGCCCCACTGCCAAAAAGCTGGTGTTGCAAAGTGCCCAGTTGTTTGTATTTTACATTTATCTAACTATCCCGATACATTGTGGGGACTGGCTACATTGACTGCATCCAAGGGATAGATGGGAACAGTGAACGGCGAGGGGAGGTAAGAAGTGCAGCAGAGCAAGGAATGAATTTTCATTCTCCTTTTCAAGCAAAAGATGTCCAGGCCAAAATTTAGAATCCCTGAGAGTTTCTAGGAAGATCTTTTTGGGTGAGGAGGGGGAAGGGAGGGCAGGTGGGTGGAGATGTCTTTGTTTATTTGTTCTAAGCTCTGTTTGTCATCAGTCGTGATTTTCTTTGTGGAAAGCATTAATATCCCATTTTCACGTATTCAATATTCCCGTTAACAGTAAAGACGCTAATGAAAATACCTGCATGAAAAGCCCCAAGCACTAATTTCAAAGACCAATAAAAGAGGAGCCTATATGCATTTCTCCTGAAATGAATGATACAAATTTATCGATAACTTAATTAGACTTTCAAGCTAAAGATTATTAGATGAATCAGACCTGAAAAACACATCCTTTTTAAGTAAAAGCTGGGGACATAGTAATGGTGGGAGAAAGAAACTATTGAACGTTCTGCTAGAAATTTCTCCTAAATGGGTACTCTCCAGAAAAGGCCATGGGGAAGGGAGAGGGGAGGAAAGGGGGACTGACAGTACATTGAATTCATGTAGGGTTTGCTTCCAAGAAGCTCAGTGTTTTATTTATTTGTTTATTTTTTGGTGAGCCAATCGGGGCTAAGTGACTTGCCCAGGGTCACACAGCTAGTAAGTGTCAAGTATCTGAGGCCGGATTTAAACTCAGGTCCTCTTGACTCCAAGGCCGGAGCTCTATCTACTGTGCCAGCTAGCTGGCCCATCAATGTTTTTACCATCATTCTCTGATCACACCAGTATGTGAAAGGTTGAGTATCAATATAGCTGGAGTTCTAAAATCTACTATTTCCACTCACTCTGAATGGGAAAAGGAAGGCAGGTTACTTTTCTCGCCTTAACAGAAGGGGAAAATTAGGCATGGTGACTTTCTCTAGGCCTTGTTGTGTGTTGATAGAAGATCTGGGAATAGAATCCAATTACTCTGACTCTTAACCCTCCCTTCCATCTTCTATATCAGTTTTTTCCTAATCCAAAGTGTTCAGATCAATTCAATAAACGTTTATTAAGACCCCGTTATGTGCCAGGCACTATGCTAAGCTCTGGGGATGCAAAAAGAGCCCTTGCTGTCAAGGAGCTTACAATCCAGACAACATGCAAACAAATATGTACAAAGCAAGCTATATGCAGGATAACTAGGTAGCAATTAAAAGAGTTGGCATTAAAAGCAGCTAAGGAAGGCTTCTTGTAGAAGGTGGGGTTTTAGTTGGGACTTAAAAGGAGGCCAGGGTGGGTCAGCAGTCGGAGCGGATGAGGGAGCGCATTCTAGGCATGAGGACAGCCAGAGAAAACACCCAGAGCCAAGAAATGGAGTGCCTTGCTCATGGAACAGCCAGGAGGCCAGTGCTGCTGGATGGAAAAGTATGTCTATGGGAGCAAGGTTGTAAGAGGACTGGAAAGGTAGGAGGGGGCTAGGTTATGAAGGGCTCTGAAGGCCAAACAGAGCATTTTGTATTTGCTCCTGGAGGAAATAATAAGAAGCCAGAGGAACTGGATTCAGGGAGACCTGAGTTCAAATCTGACCTCAGCCACTTGGACACTAGCTGTGTGACTCTGGGCAAGTCACTTAACCCCAACTGCCTCACCAAAAAAAATAGATAAATAAATAAAAAGAAAGAAAGAAAGAAAGAAGCCAATGGAGTTTACTGAGTAAGGTGATAACACGATTGGACCTGTTTTAGGAAAATCACTTTAGTGGCTGAATGAAGAATGGTTTGGAGTAGGGAGAGACTTGAGGCAGGCTGACCCACCACCAGGATATTACAATAATCCAGGTATGAGGTGATGATGACCTGCACGAGGGTGGTAACAGTGTCAGGGGACAGAAGGAACGTATACCAGAGATTTCACAGAGGTGAAATCATTGCACCTTGGCAACAGCTTGGATAAGAATCCAGGGCAACTCCTGGGTTGCGACGGTGTTGGCCTTCATACTTCTCAGGGAAAAAAAGGAGGCTGTTTGTGGTCCTACAATCTATTCCCAGGCCTGTATTTGAAACCTTTCCAACTTGGTAAGTGCTCCCAGGGCTTGTATCACCTTGGCATAGCCACAAGAACCCCAGGCCATTGCCATCTTCCAGATGAAACATCTATTCAGACCACTTCAAGAGTACTGCGTTCAGGGGCAGCGAGGTGACGCAGTGGATAGAACACTGGCCCTGGAGTCAGGAGGACTTGAGTTTAAATCCAGCCTCAGATGTGTGACCCTGGGCAAGTCACTTAACCCCAATTGCCCCCCCCCAAAAAAAAAAGTACTGTGTTCAGTTCCGGCTATCACATTTTAGGAAGGACGCAAACATAGAAGAGAGTCACTCACAACCACACTATACATTGAAGGATCTGAGGAAGTAGAGCCTGATGTCAAGTGATTACATTGCTTTTGCTTGACCCTACAGAGCAGAACTAGTTACAATGGGTAGAAATTATACAGGCATATTTCAGTTCAATAATAACTGGAATTGTTCAGGGATATGATACCTCGGAAGGTAGAGAGCTCCTCATCACTGGATATTTTTGAGCAGAAATTGGATAACTACTTGTCAGGAGTGTTGTAGAGGGGATACTTCTTTGAGTGTGGGTTGAAGCAAATGAACTTTTAGGTCCCTTCCAGTTATGAAATCCCGTGATTCCAAGTTTCTATGAGCTAGAAGCAAGGCCCTTTGATTAAAAAAAAAAAGTTTTATAGACTGATAAAATTTTGTCTGAAGCTGGCGCTTGGAAAAATATTGTCCCACTGCATGGTGCCAGAGTAGGCATGAAAAAGTACCCCTAGATTATACTGAAGGCCCTTCCTCCCTCTGGGTCTCCTTGGGTGGGATCTAGCACCCTATGTCCTACAGGATGTGATGTATACTTTCTGTGTGGCCCTCTGGAATTCAGGGCCTATGGGGAGGGGCAGGACCTAGGGGAAATAGCTGAAGAAAGCCACCATTTCCTGTTTGGCACTCAGGCCAGGGACAGTCGGTGAAAACCAGCCTGAAATTCAACACCCTTAGCCGTGGTGGGGAGAGCTGTGAGGCTCGTCCTGGCAGTTGTCTGCCGGACAACTGCCACCTACTCCATTTCTAAGTTGGGCTGCTGATCTTGGCTGGCCCTTCCACTCCAAAGATGTCATAAGAGAAAATAACACTATTGTAAGAGCTTCGCAGGAGACAGAGAGGCCATCTTGTTTGCCCAGAGGCCTGTTCCATTCTTAGAGTCTGCTAAGCTAGTGTTGCTTCTGCAGTACAAAGTCAGAGCTTGGGTATAGTGGAAAGAGTACTAGCCCGAGTCAGAAGACCTAGGTTCTAGTCCCATTTGGCCATGTTTCCTTGGGCCTCAGTTTCCTCAACTGAGAAATGAGGATGTTGCCTTGATGATTTTTCAGGTACCTTTTGGCTCCAACATTCTCTTTCTTGTTCTAAGATTCTAGGAACCTCTTAGAAGATAGCCTTTGGTCTGGGGTTAGAGCATAAGAGTATTTTCCATGACCCTAGAGCCTTATGGAGACACATTCCTTCCCTTCTGCTGTATGCCCCTTCCCTCAAGCATGCCACCTAGCACATCTTCCTGACCGAAAGTCAGCAGCCCCCTAGAAGGAGGGTAGCTCCATCATCTTCTTCCTTTTCTCCTCTCACCCTTCCTCCTGGTGACCCCTCGGCAGAGCTGCTCTATGCCCCTGCTCCATGGCACCTCCTTTGGATGAGAGACTTTTGATAAGGGGTGGGCACAGGTTCCAACATTGTTCAACCCTTCCTTTTAGGGAAGAGAGGCAGGAGATGTGGAGTAAGGGAGGCCACCAACAGCAGGGGCCAAAATTGCTCTTTGGCAGCTGGCAACTTATATATGTCAGACATGTGCTGGGAGCTGATTTTCACTTGTCTGTGTGTTATCCTCCCCCTCACTCACTCCCCCCTCCCCGCCCTGCCCATTTCCTGTCTCTTTCAGGGGCTGTTGACTATATAAACCCCATTCCCTGTCCAGAAGTTCGCTGACCAGTAAACATCCCACCCCACACTCCCAGCACATCAGAAGTAGTGGGGTCAGAGCCTTGGCATACCACTTTTAACTTTCCCAGTCCCTCTGGAGGGCTCTCTGGCACCTCTGGACACCACTGTGGAGCTATGTTATGCTACACCCATTCACGATGAAAACATTCACAATTAATGGAAGAAAGGGGCCATGAGCTGAGCCTAAAATTAAAAAACAACAAACAAACCACAAAGTAGACACGCTTACCCCTCCATGGCTCCTCAGCCTCTTCAGGCCACACCGGGAGCACAAGGATGGAAGAGCTGCCTAGGAGAACCATTCTGGTTAGAGCTGTTGCAGATTCTACCAATGGGACCAATCAGAATGTTCTAGAGCCCTGAAATCCCAGCACTGGGCTCTGTGGTGCTCCAGCTCTCCTTCCCTGCTCCCAGACATCAGTCGGGCTCTGAAGGACATACTCTGATTTAGAAACGCAATTAGGAAATGAAGGGGGTTGTGGAGGACAGGTGGGTGATGCCAGGGGCTCTCTGCTTATCCCAGGCTCCTCTCCCGAAACACCAATAAGCTCAAGCTTTGAGCTATCACCCTTCATGGCTTAAGAAGGTATTGATAAATCTACTCACACTGATATTGGCTATCAGCCAGTGTCTCCAGTAACGATTTTTTGGATAATTCCTGCTGGGGGCGTCTGGATCAACCATCACCAATATGTACTTCTTATTCTGAAACAAAAATCAAAAGAGAATTCAGTGTCATGGAGGACCAGGCCTTTGATGGGGATAAAAGAAGGCTCTGACTGCCCCACCCTCCATGCCAGCCAAGATACTCTGCTCTCATGACAACCTATCTGGCGGCTGCCATTGCTGACACTGTTCCATTGCAGGGTTTGAGGTCTGTTGGGTGGGAGGAGGAAGGCAGGATGCCTGGATCTCCCTTTGATGGAGGAGAATCTAGTAATCAACAAGTATTTACTGAGCATCTACCATGTACTCAGTACTCTATCAGACACTTCAGGGGACACAGAAGACATATAAAATGGGTCCCTGCCCTCAAGAAGTCTAGAGGCTGAGCAGACTTATGCAGACTTAGAGGAGACATAAAATGATATTACATAAGACAAATACTCAAATGTGTATTACAAACTACAAGTGCTTTATACAGTATTTCAGACATGAGAGTAGGCTGAATTTAGCAGGAAGAATTTAATGAAAGAAGAGGGTTTGGAGTGGGGCCTTGGGTAGGGCTTAGGTGGGGAAGAGGGAATTGGAGGGCATCCAGGGCAGAGGGAATGGTGTGAACAAACTCAGGATGAGAATGAGAACATTACCATAAGGAAAGGGAAGAGGGATGAAGCTGGGTAGGTAGAATAGGGTTCAGTTATAAGGATTAAAGAGGCAGAATTGTTGTTGATCAGTTGTTTTCAGTTGTGTCTGAATCTTTGTGACCCCATTTGAGGTTTTCTTGGCAGAGATGCTGAAGTGGTTTGCCATTTCCTTCTCCAGCTCATTTTATAGATGAAGAAATGGAGGCAAACTGCGTGAAGTGACTTGCCCAAGGTCACATAGCTAGTAAGCTTCTGAGGCTGGATTTGACAGTTAGGTAGCACAGTGGATAGAGTACTGGGTCTGGAGTCAGGGAACCTCATCTTCCTCAGTTCAAATATGGCTTCAGATGCTAGCTGCGTGACCCTGAGCAATCTACTTAACCCTGGTTGCCTCAGTTTCCTCATCTGTACAATGAGCTGGAGAAGGAAATGGCAAACCACTCCAGTATCTCTGCCAAGAATATTCTGAATGGGGTCATGAAGAGTGGGACACAACCAAACAATAGTAAGAACTATCCAGAGGCTAGAGTTGATGACCTCTGAGACCACTCGTAGCTCAAAGATTCTGGGATTCCAGCTTTAAATCTATGATCCCATGAGTCTGTCATTCTGAGTTTTCACTTGATTTGAAAGACAACATAGAGCCAATCTAACAAACAATTATTACATGCCTATGATGTACTGGATACTATGCTAGACCCTGGAAAGGCAAAGACAAAATGAAACAGTACCAGTCCTCAAGTCCTTTTTTAAATTTTTTATTTTTAGGCAGTTGGGGTTAAGTGAGTTGCCCAGGGTCACACAGCTAGTAAACGTCAAGTGTTTGGTCTGTGGTCGGATTTGAACTCAGGTCCTCCTGACTCCAGGGCCGGTGCTCTCTCCACTGTGTCACCTAGCTGCCCCTAGTCCTCAAGTTCTTAAGCTTATATTCTGCTGGTGGGGAGGGGTACACTATGGTCCCAAATGAGTACAGTCCAAGCTAGGGAGTGAGAGGGGCAAGGGAAGGATCAAAGTGCGCTAGGAAAATGTGAGAGCCCAAGAACACTGACAATTAGGAGAGACACAAAAATGGTGTTTAAGGGAGATCACACTGGCAGTCATTTATAGGATGCATTTGTGGGGTAAAGACGGGAGGCAAAGAAGCCAAGTGGGAGAGAACTGTAGTAATCCAGAGAGGAAGTGAGGCACCAGGAGCACTTGGGTGGCCCAGGCATTTTTTTTAAGCTGGAGACGACCGGGAGTGGGGGAGCATTCTCAGTCCCTCATAGACTCCTAGAGCTTTGCCTGGTTCCAGCACAGGGTCCAAGATGGATTGGGGTGATTGGGTGCTAAGTCAGTTTATATTCAGGCATGTACCCAAGGTCAGGGCTCAGGCTGGAAAAAGATGGGATGGGGATGAGTCCTCCGAAATCCCCAATCATGACAGTGGCCAGACTGGAATGATGTGAGGTTGGGAGGCTGATCCCAAGGATTTCCTTGGGAGACACAAGGAGTAGTCCGTATCTGTTCTGATGTGGACAGGCAGAATTGAATTCACTGCAAGGTCTCCTGGAATCTCAGTCCTCCCTCAGGCTCTCTCTTTCCCCAGAATCCAAGTGCCCAGGCGAGCTATTCTCTTTTCCAAGAGGTGTTTCCCTGACGTGCCCCTAGCCCGGCTAGGGACACAGACACTTCTTGGTTCTGTGGTGCTGGTTCCCTTCTTGGTGATCTCGGAAGAGAGAGTTCATGTGCCTGCTAGAACTCTGAGAGGGCTGACCAGTGCCCGCAGAAAACCTCCTCTAATCCTAAGGTTTGGAGCCCCCCACCCCCGTCATCTCCTGATTTTGCTCCCAACTACCCAACCCCCTTCAAAGAGCTCAGCAGGAAGGAATGGGCTTTTGTGGTCCTGACCTTCTCATCTTTTGTCTCTGTGTGCCTAGGGAGCTGGTTTCCAGCCCTGCCACTAACCACATCCTCCAGCAGGAGCTCCCAAACACCCTCGCAAATGCTGGAGGGGTTTCCACCTCAGCTTTCTCCCTCCTACCAGATGAAATGGGGCATGGGGGAGTTAGCTCCTTGCTAGGCTCCATAGAGTCTGTCCCAGGCTCCTCCACCCCTCTTTTCGGATCACTGGAGCATTTGCTCCAGGCAGGGAAGGAGTAGAGGAAGGGAGTTATTCTTTTGAATAGCCCAGACATATGCAACTGATTTCTGGCAGTTCTGACCTATCTATGAGCACAGAGCGCATAGAGCAAAATGTGTGTTACTAAGGCAGGTTGTGTAGTTTGCTTCTCCGGGGATTTTTTTTTTTAACTGTTCCATGTGAGCTCGTCCTGACTGCTCAACAGAGAATATCAGACCCTTGAGGGCAGGAGCTAATTTATACTTCTCTATGCCATGGGCACCTACATGTGACTACCTCTTCAAATGAATTATAAGGAAGGGATAAGGGACTGGTGGAATGTGAGCCTGCCCAGAGCCTAGAAGATAAACTCTATAATCTCTCAAAATTCTCTTTGAATCTCTTGTTTATGTATAGCCTTGTTGATAAAGTGTTGTGTGTCTGTAGTGATAATACAGAAGTCTCTAAGCGAGAGAAATCCAGAACTTGGGTTTTTAGTTTTAGTGCTGAAAAAGATAAGGAAAGATTATGGCTTTTTCTCTTCTATTTTTTTTTTCCGGGGGAGAAGTGCAATTCCATAATGATAATATTTATAGTTGATATTTATATATTGATTTAAGGTTTTCAAAGTGCTTTACATGTGTCATTCCTTTTCTGAGATGCTCTCTTACCTTGCACTCAAAATGGTGAGATTGGGTCCTGGAGGATGCTTTTACTTTGGATTCTGGGGTACTTTGTGGGTCTGGGCTTTGAAATTATAGCCAGCAGACACATAATGCAAAGGCACTTATTAAGATAGCATAGTAAGAACAGTAGCAACAAACCATTCCTCCCATAAGCCTGGGTCATTCTCTTTGATAAATATACACTGAATCTGTGGGAAAAGTGGGTACAAACTTAGGGTTCGGTAGTAATGAGGCAAACACATGAGGAATGCGCGTGTTCAAGGTTGGTCACTCCTCCCATATAGTTAGTCCTTGAAGTCCTTTCTTCCCTGTGGAGTCCTCCCAAAGCTCCTCCATGGGCACAGCATCTCTGCTAGGTTCCCAGGATTCTGTTCTTTATAGAGCACAATGACTCTCATAAATCCGCAGTTGATTCTCTTCTCTGCTGTCAGAGGTCATGCTCCTTGAAGCTGCTTTCATCCTTAAATAACTGCATCTCTCTATCCTTGCCTATCTTGAGTGTTTTCTCTGCCCCCCTCAACTGTGCGTTACACTCTCTGAAAGTGACTTTTCAACTACTGGAAGGGGAACATATCTCCCTCTGGGTAAGAAGCTTCCCAGCTAGACACCTTGGTTGATGGAGGGAAGAGAAAAGAGAAATCCTCTTCTTCACTTCCTCCCCTTCCCTTCTCATCCCCCACTCCTGATGAAGAGTTGGGTTCTTCCTTGACTACTGGCTCCTGCCAGGACTTTTGAACTGTTCACTGTCTCCAGAGCTTAGCTATTTAAAGCCTCCAGAGTCATGGCCAATTTTCAGCCCAGCCAATCTGCTGCATCTTCTGATTCAATCAGAAAGAAGTGTTCATACTTGTAAAGGGATTATTGAATATCAACACCTTAACAAATCTGTAAGTCCTCATCTGTGACTGCATCAACTTTGTAGCCCCCAAAAGCAATACAGTGTAGTGGAAAGAGCAATAAATTTGGAGTCAAGAGGACCTGGATTCAAATCCCCCTCCCCTCTCTATATATTATCACCTTTGGTCCTTATGACATTTTTACTCTCATTTTACAGATGACGAGACTGAAGCTCAAAGAGGTTAATGAGTGTTGGAGTCAGGATTTGAGTCTATCTCACCTGGCTCCAGGTCCTGCAAGCTTTCTACTAATCATCCTGTTTTTCATAAGAGAAAGGAAGGACAGGACCTCTATGGAACATCCAGCACAACACAAAGAATGGGAAAGTACTTTAACCAATGAGTTTTTTGGGTTATAATTATGAATGTATTTCACTCAAGGTCATAGAGCAAGACAGTTGCAGGTCTAGTCGCAGATGTTGTACTGCCTATTCTTGTGTTTGATTCCAATATAAGCACTATGCCCCTGCTAGGAGCAAGGAGCACATAAAGAAAGCAGGGGTGAAGAAAGGTTCTTAAAGAGTCCCCCCATGGTGCATTTACTCAGAAGCCTGATCCACAATCCCATTCATTTGTTTCAAGATCAGGATTTGCATGTTCCCAGCATTTTGGAGTTGTGCCCCTGCCTATCAGCTCCATTTGCAGGGAATTCTTCTTGTTATAGCTCACCGTGGTTCCAAATACCCAGGCCCAGTCACTAATGACTGTATGGGATGTGGTCAGTGAACGCATGGATGTGTCACCTCAATAACAGGCAGTATGCTCAGATTTTTCAACATGGTACCTTGGTAACCATCCCTTTGACACAGTCCCTAAAGGTGCAGATGCATGGTTTCCTCAGTGGGGATGGCAAGTGTAGAACAGATAACCATTAGAACATTATCTCCAAAGCAATGCTTAGCCAAGAGTTTAAAGAGGCCAACAGTAGGTAATAAACAATTTGAGGTTTAACACAAGATTGGATAAAAGAGGCAGTGAAAGAGCATAAAATGTAAAAAAGACATATACTTCACAATTTTTGGAGGGGGAAAGAACCTACTCTAGACCACCCCTTCCAGAAAGAGGACATAGATAATGAGTTCCAGCAGCAGATCACAAAACTGGCATGAAGAGAGGACATACATATAATTATGATAGGAAACCATTTATTTTGCTGTTTTATATATAATACATATGTATGTATATATATGTATATATGTGTGTGTGTGTGTGTGTGTGTGTGTGTGTGTGTGTGTGTGTGTGTGTGTATATCCTTCAGTTAAGAGCAGAGTTGCCTGGGATGTATTGTCTTCTGTCTCTCCCTGAGGGTGCCTAGCTACTTCAGCTAGGCTGGTTTGCCTGCCCTATTATACTGAAGAGGAATTGATAAGGGGAATTGATATTGTAGCCGATAAGAAGGAATTAGTAAAGGAAATAGAAATGACTGGAACCTTGGGAAGAAATGCCCATGCTATCACAAGGTTCCTGGTAGACAAGGATGGAAATGCTGGCCATAGATTGATGTGTACTCTAGACATTATGGGAATGGATTTCAAAGCATTCAAAGAAAAGATAGGCAAAATTTTGTGGCCTGAGATTCTTAAAGACAAGCTGATTTAAGAGGATTGCGAAGCTCTCAAGAATAAAAATCTGAAGACATAAATGCAAATTATAATGATGAGAAAGAAAAGGAGGAAGGGTCTAAAGAGACTTATGTGACTACATAGGGATTAATCCAGGAGTTCAAATTTTTAAAAGACAAATACATTAGACAGAAGCAGGAAGATGATTGAGGATGAATACAAAAGAATGGTGGTAATCCTATAAAAATAGGAATGTGAAATGCCAAAATTACCCAAGGGTCATATAATTTATGTGCTAAGCCAACAAAAATGGTGTTTTTGGTTTTTTTTAAAGGTAATGTTGGGAAGAAAGAAGAGAAACAAAGAAGAGATGTGTTTACTGATGGAGTGAATGAGATGATGACGATGGACAATACAGACAGTTCTCACTTTTTTATGTAAGTGGACCCTTTCTCAGACCTAGTCTATTCAAAGCAAATTTGCCTGTGGAGGCAGGGAAGAGAGGGAGGGAAGTAGGAAGGGGGCCATGCTCCACTGGAGGGGGGTGTGCCACAATGGTTCAAGGATACAGTAGGACTCAGGGACAGAGAAGTCAGAGCAGGAGGAGAAACATGCAGAGGCCAGGGTCAGCCATGTGCCCAGGGACAGACATGTGGGGACTGCACATGGACACAGGTAGGAAAGGACAGGCAACAGGCACGGGGCAGGGACACAGACAGTATCCAAGTATGGATGGAGGGAAGTGGGGAGAGTGAGGAGTGGGGCAGAGCTGAACATGAGGTGGCAGGGGCAAAGAGAGAGAGAGCACAGTACTGTAAAGTCAACACAGGTGTTTTGTTGAAATATGGATTTCTTTCAGAACTCTTTATGTAAAGTTGAATTTCCATAATATGAATTTACATAAAACAAGAGCTATCTGTGATGAGAAGACTCTATTCCTCTTTTGTTTCTGTTATCAAGAAGAATGATATTCAGAATGAAAAGGATAGAACAGAAAATGGTTAGCAGGGACTTAAAACTCAAGCTAAGTAAAGAGCCAGTAAGAGAGAAGCTAAGATACCCTCAGTGAGTTTCAGTAACCTGGCCTAGTGCATTACAAATGCTATGGGTGAGATTGCCGAACCATTGATGGTGATATTTGAAGAATCATGGAAAATGGGAGAGTTGCTATAGGATAAAAGATAGGTAAATGTTACTTTGATTTTGTTAAAGGGGGTAAGAAAGTATAATTTTCAAACTTTGATTTGATATTGATTCTTGGTAAAAAGAGATCATTTAGAAATTATAGTTTTTATGTAATCAGAAATGGATTCAATTATCATTGTGAGATAATTGCCAGACTAGCTTTGTTTTCTTTTTTAACAGGGTTGATAAGTGAACAAAATGCCATAGCTGTGATATACAAGTGTAACCAGGTACTCAAAAACCATTTGCATAAGACTCTCCTTATTGATCCAGATTGGTAATTCAACGCTTCAGACCTGTGTGAGGGTTGGAGTTGTCAGGAGCTTGGGAGAAGAGACATCCTGGTCTTCTGGCTTCCAGCTTTAAGAGATATATTTTATGTTTCCTCCAGGGAGATCCCTGAAGGGAGAGAATGACTCTGAGAAGAAGCTGACATGTTGACATGACAGCAATTCAATCATGTCCCTATCCCATGACAGCCTTCAGGGAATTTCTCCTTGTCTCTCTCTGTCTCTCTCTTCTCTGTCTCTGTCTCTCTCTTCTCTGTCTCTGTCTCTGTCTCTCTCTCTCTCCCTCTCTCTCTCTCTCTCTCTCTCTCTCTCTCTCTCTCTCTCTCTCTCTCCTTGTCTCTCTCTCTCTCTCTCTCTCCCCCTCTCTCTTTCTGTTTCCAGTAGGAGAGGTCATTCACTCTGTGCTTTGCTGGGTGTCCTCATCTGTATAGCACCAGATTTCAGTTTTCTATCAGCTTGAAGAAATGAATTTATCTCCTATTTGCTATGTGTGGTTTTTGTGTAACAAAACTGAAGGAAAGGAATCAAGCCTTGGATACGTAGCTGGGAGCACTCCTGAACGAGCTTTCGGGCTCTGGTTATATATATATGATAGTCTCTTATGATAACCTTGTGGACAAAAAAGATCTGGCCTGGAGGCTGGAACAGTTAGGAGGATCCAGAGCTGGTTTGCTAGCCAAACACAAAACCTATTGATTAATCTATCTATCAGGACCTGGCAGGAAATCTACAGAGGTAGTTGCAGGATTCTGTCACTGGCCCTGTTCCGGCAAACTTTTTTAAATCAGTGATTTTGGACGAAGACAAAGATTACATGCTTATCAAACTTATAGATGACATGAAGTTGGCAGGGTTACCTCTGACAGAAAAATGTTCCAAAAAGAGCTCACAGGTTGTACTTTTAATGTGGGAAATGCATGGTTAGACGATATTTCACTTGGAAAAGATCTGGGGGTTTTATTGAATCGTAAACTTAATAGAAATCAACAGCACAACATGGCAGCCAGAGAAGCTACAGGATTTTAAGCTACCTCATAATAAACACAGTATGACGAGATGTCAGAGTTGGAAGGTTCCTCAGCGGATGTCGAGTCCGAGCCATGCCTGACAAAGAGCAGTGTCTACAATACACCCAAGGAGGATTCAACAAACCTTTGTTTGAAGGCCTCCAATGACAGGAAACCTGCTTTCTTTGGAGACAGCCCAGTTTATTTTAAGGTGGCTCTAATTGTTAGGAAGTTTTTCCTTAAATTAAGCCTAAATTTTCTTCTTTGCAATTTCTACTCATCGCCTTAGTTCTGCCCTCTGGAAATAAGCAGAACACGTCCATCATTCATCCATACGACACTCCTTCAACTACTTGAGAAGACAGGTACCATGCTCTGTCCCCAAAGTCTTCATTTCTCTAGGCTAAGCAACCTTAGCTCCTTCCCAGGTGAGATCCTCCTATGCCATGTGCTAAAGTCCTTTCATGATTCTGGTCCCCCTCTTCTGGATATGCTTCATCTTGGCTAGGTCTTCCCCAAAAATATGAAGCCCAGAACAATACTATAGATGTAGTCTGATCAGACCAGAGTCAAGTAGGACTATTTATCACCTCCTTATTACTAGACGCTATGCCTTATTACTGGACACATAATAAAACCAAAGACCAAATTAGCTTTTTTTGTATACCATGTGACATTGCTGATTCATATTAAACTTGCAGTCCACTAAGACCCTCAGATCTTGTTTAGGCAAATCACTGTCTTAACCATGCTTCCCTTATCTTGTATGTGTCTGGTGAAGCTGATTTTTCAACCTGCCCAAAGTTTTTACATTTCTCCATATTGAATTTCATCTTGTTCATTTTTATTCTTCCTGCTCTGCCTCTTAGTAACTATGTGACCTCAAATAAGTCATTTACCTTTCTGGGTCTCACTTTCCTTAGGAGCTTGGATTAGATGACTTCTTTTTTTGGGGGGGGTTGTTCAATGGGGTTTAAGTGACTTGCTCAGGGTCACACAGCTAGTAAATGTTATGCGTCTGAGGCTGAATTTGAACTCAGGTCCTCTTGAATCTAGAGCTGGTGCTCTATCCACTGCACCACCTAGCCTCCCCCTAGATGACTTCTAATGTCCATTCCAGATTTCAATCCATGAATTCTGACTCTGTTATCTGGTGAGTTAGCTATCCCTCCCAGATTCTTGTCAATTGGAGATTTGCTAAGATTATTCCATCTACAGACCTTTGTCAAAGTCACTGATGAAAATGTTAAATAGTGTAGGGTCAATCATAGATCTCTGGGTATTCTCCTGAAGACATCCCTCCAAGTTGACATGAAACCATTAGTGACTACTCTTTGGAAGGAGTCATTCAACCAGTTGCAAATTCACCTAATTGTACAAGTTTCTAGCTCTCATTTTTCCATTTTCTCCGCAAGAATAGTATGAGACATCAACATCAAATGCTTTGTTAAAATCTCTTTGTGTAAAGCTTCTAACTACAATAATGTGAATGAAAAGGACAAAAATCCCAAACTGAATACTATCATTATAATGACAACCTTGGCCCTGGAGAAAAGTTGAGAAAATGTTCTTCCATTATTCTTTTGCAAAGGTGGGGGGATGACTATGGATATTATTGCATATATTGTTAGACATGATTGATATATTGGTTGGTTTTGCCAATCTGTTTTTTGCTCTTTGTTTTAATTTTTGATACAAGGAATGGTTTCCTGACAAAAGGTAAGAGGAGGTATATATATTCAGAAATGAAAGTTGAATAGGAGCAAAAGCTAGCAATAAAATTAAGATAAAATTAATAATACCCAGGTGAACTATTCTGAGAGCATTCTCCTGCTCTACCATGTATCTAGTAGCCAGTCAAAAAAGGAAATAAAGTTACTCTGACATGACTCATTCTTACTGAACCCATGCTAGCTTTCTGTGATCACCACCTCTTTTTCTGGATGTTCGCTAACCATTGCTTTAAAGACATTCTAGAATTTTTCCAGGAATCAAAGTCAAGGCCACTAGCCTGTACTTTGTACATTCTATTCTCTTCTCTTTAAAAAAAAAAAAGAAAGAAACTAGGGCAATGTTAGTCCTTCTCTTATGCTTCAGCTTCTCTCCTGTTCTCCACAATCTCTTGCAAAGGTGGTGACGGCCTCACTCACCCCACCCCAGTCAGGTCATATCTGCACCACAGACTATTGGGCACCACATTTTAGGAAGCATCTTTACAAACTGGTCCATGTCTAGTGGAACATGACCAAGGATAGTGAGAGGTGAAACCCTGTGATATTGGTTGAAAGAACAAGGACTGTTCAGCCTATTATTTTTCGTCTTTGTGTCTCTAGTCTGTATTTTCTTTAATATTTCAGTGGCTTGTGATTTTATCAGAGTGAGTTGTCCTTTCACCCATGAAGGCTATCACTATTCCTCTGATTTAATAGAAGGTTTTCTAGAATTGCCATGGCTGAAAAATTCACTTCTCTGTAATCAATCTGGTGATGAGGTTTGCACCAGGTAGGTGCTTGATAAGTGCTCATTGAATTGGAGAAGACATGGAAAGGAAAGGACAGGGAGGAAGAGGCATGATAGCTGTCTCTCAGATATTTGAAGGAAGATTAAATTTGTTTCACCTGGCCTCAGAAGGCAGCATGGTGTAATGGACAGTGCTGAATAGTGGATAGTGGAGGCCACGGTTTCAAATTCTACCTCAGACTGGGTGATCGTGGACGAGTCAATTAATTTCTATGTGCCTCAGTTTTCTAATCTATAAAACAAAGAGGGCGGACTTGGTGATGTCTGGGTCCCTTCTCACTCCTATGAACCCAAATTGCAATGAAACAGATATCAGTTGGTTATAAAGAGGAAATTCCTAATGAATGGAACTGTCCAACAGCAGAATGGGGTGCCTCATTGGGGAGTGAGTTACCTGTCACTGGGGGTGTTTAAGCACTTGCTAGGGCTGCTGTAAATACTTCAGGCAAGGGTTGGATTATGTAGCTTTCAGTACACCTCTGAGATTCTAAGTTAAGTGAGGCTGGACCAAACAGTGTCAATATGGGATCTGTCCAGAGAATTCCCCTTTGTGCCTATACTTTGTGTCCTGCCCCCAAGCCAGCTCCCAATCCATGACAAAAACATGGGAGCACTTGCTTGAATCCCATGGTGATTTAATTTTTTAACAGCTTTTGGCATAGGTTCTTACTGAAAGTCAAAATAAATTCCCTCTGGGGCACATATTTACTCCTCAAAGAACTCTAGTAGAACATTAAGACATGAGAACCTCTCAGAGGAACCAGGATTTTGGTTTTTTTCCTCTTCTTCAGTATGTTAGGTTTGCCACACTGTCAGTGATCATATAGAATACTTCTGCCTTGCCTAATATGACAGTGAGATAGGTATATCAGTGCTTAGCTCTCCAGTTCCCCAGGAAGTTTTCCTATGGAAGGGATAACTCTTTGGCAGTCCTCTGGCACCAAGGCTATTAGTGCCTATAAGTTACACATATTAACCAATTGTTTGAGTTCTGCCTTTGAATTAAAAATTGGGATGGGGTGGGGTGGCAGCTACAGTGATGGTGCTCCCAGAGCCCAGGGACTAATGTCTCCTCTGGTGGTTAGAGCTAAAAAATTCCTGTACCCCGACCACTACCATCTTGCCACCTCCAGCCCATTTCAAATGATAGTTAAATATGGGAATTTTCATTACCTCTTCCCCAGTGAAAAAACAACAAGGGGAAATCCATACACTGCCTGAGCACTTGGATCATTGCATTCATGAAGTAGTCCCACCAATTCTTTGCCTGCCACAAACACATTTAGGAGACCTCTCCTACCTGGCTTTGGCGGGGGTGGGGGGGTGGGGGGGTGTCTTTGCTTTTTCAGTTTACTGTAAAAAAAAGGTCACCTCTGGATTTGCATTTTCTAGAAAATCACTTCCTCAAGTGAAATAGAAGACTAAGAAACTCTTGCCTTATTCCCTTGATATTCTCCCTTCTCTCCCAGGTCCACTCTCCTGAGGGCCAACTGCCACCACCCCATGTCTCTGGATAAGAGGACGCAGCCATTTCTGCTTTAATAGAAAGATCTTAGAAACACAAAATCCAGCCAGATTTAGTAAGTGGAAGATGGGCTCAAACGAGCTACTATTTCTAAAGTACTTAGTACCGTGCCTGGCCCATAATGGGCACTTGATAAATGCCTGTTCCCTCCCTTGCTTCACGTTGCCCCCCCAGCCTGATAAAGGGGAAACCTCAGATCTCCTAGCCTTC